GAATTTCTTGATCCACAATAAAGAGGTAATCTGCTGGGGAAGATCCCTCACCCCCCAACCCCCGTCACCAACGGCCCCCACCCTTGCATTCCCCTAAGGGAAGGTGTCCTTGCTGGAAATAATCCACTCTTTAATTTCTTAATCCCACTCCCTTTCTGCCTAATAAAATCTTCCATTTGATACAACCCATCAGAGTGCCCTTCTTCCTAGATGGGGTGCTGCCTGATTCGTGAATTGCTTAATAAAGCCAATTAGATCTTCAAATTTACCTGGTTGAATTTTGTTTTATAATAGATGTCACAGCGGTGTGATATGTTACAAAATGTCCATATTTAGCATGAACACATACTGAAATATTCAGGTGGAGTGACATGATACCTTGATTTCCTTTAAAATACTTCATTCAAAAAAGGAAAATAGAAGAAACATGGCAGGATCTTGACAGCTGTTAAATCTGGGTTTATGGTTTGTGAGGGTTCATTACACTATTCTGTCTTCTTTTTGAATGCTTAAACCTTTAAATACAAAATTACACATAAATTAAAACAAGGGGAATTTTTACTTCATAATTTCTTTTGAATCTCTTTGTGGCTTTCAATGGTGTTTGCTTCATCTAAGGTCATTTCTTCTAAAGGTTGGGTACCATATGCCCCTGTTTGCCAGGACAGCCCCAGTTACATCGATTGTCCTAACATAATTATTTATAGCACTATCTTTCATACGTGACCTGATATGGGATGATAAATTAAACAGTCACTTTAGCTCATGGCTGTCACATCATTGCCAACCTCAGTCAGGGCTTCACACTTCTGTGTTTGTGTCCAGTTGAAGAGAGTTAAATCTGTTTTCCCAGAAGCACCCGGCAAACTTTTCCCACAACCCCAATGTTCCCGAAGGGCTGTGTTCCCATCCGTAAAACAAACACCATGGCTAGAATTATGGGATACATTGGTTGGCCTATGTCAATCAGCGTCTGACAGGAGGGGACAGAGTCAATCCTTGGATCCTTGTAGGGTGAGGACAAGAGGATTAAACGTAGGGAGGAAACCAATAAAAGTCACTATAGTCCTTCTTGCCATGTCCCTGCCACAGCCCTAGTTTAGGCCTCCACATCTCTTACTCATAGAATTGCAATAACTTTCTTACTGACCTTTCTCCTTTTGTTTTGGCCCATCAACCCCATATCGTTACCAGAATGACCTTCCTAGCATGTAGCTGTCATCATGTCACTACCACATTTGATATGTTCTGATGTTTACCTGTATCTATAAGATGTATTCTAAAAGCCTTTGCTTATTAAGTAAAGCTGTTCAATATCTGGCCTTTGGTTATCTCCCTACCCTTATCCATCTTCCATCTTCATTGTCTTCTTTATACTTTAAGCTTTCGCAAAACGGAATGACTTGTGGCAGACTTGGTTCCCCCAAGCCTTCCTCATTCTGACCAAGCAAGCAAGTTTGTATTCACCCTTCTGTGGTCAGTTTGAGTACGCTTTTCTCTGGCTCCCTCCTCGGCCTTTCCGGGATCTTTCTCCTTTGTGCCCACTGAACCTGGTCATACAGTAGAGCTCTCTTTTCTGACGAGACCAGGATAGTGGTTGGTAGATTAATTGAAAAATCAATTAAATCTGGGATCATAACAATAATGATACATGCTTTAAACATTATTTTTTTAAAAAAGCATCACTTATAAACCACTATTTCTCACTCTACTTTTCATTATACTCCTAAGGACCTTTGTTAGAATTTTTTTCTGATGACACCCTCTCCCCCGCCCCTGTGAAACTTTAATACCACAATAGCCATACACTATAGTCTTGTGCTGTATGTATATCTGAAGGTCTAGGCCTTTTATTTGTGTGTGAGTCCTCTGATTCAGTTCTGCCTCTGATTCCTTCCACGTTGATAATCTGTCTTCTAAGATGCCTAATTTGAGTTTGTTTAAAATGAAAGGGGAACAAGACATTTTAAAAGCAAACCGAGTGTATTGAGTACACTCAATTGTTATGATTCTCTTCCCAGGCCCACCACTGGACAGCTTTTTAAAAACTTGCTTTTATAAAGTTTTTCCAAAACATTTAATTTCATTTTCATAAAAACTCCTCTTCGCCCCCACCCCATGATTATACTTTATCACTATGTAAAGTCTAATCAAATTTTATCATTTTAAAGATAAGACAACCACACAACTGTTGGAAGGGGGCAGCAAGATGAAAATATACAAGGAAACAAAGAGGTGAAAGAGGTAATATACAGAAAAGAGTAGCTAACACTTTTATAGAACTTACTAGGTATCCAGCACTGTTCTAAGAGCTCCACAAAAGTCAATTCATTTCATATTATCCCCAACTTTACTGATGAGGAAACTGAGGCACAGGGAGGTCGATTTTATTTTTTACCAAAAGTCTTTTTAAACAACAAATGTTTAAAACATTTTTTTCCTGAGATGTTTTAGGATGTCTCTACTAATGTTTGTTTTGCTTTAACAAACTCTATTGAACATAATGCAATCTGCCTTTGATGTGGTATAACTAAAAAAAAAAAAAAAATAGGCCAGTGAAAATTTAATGTGGCCTCCCTTTTGAGTTTCTCAAAAAGCATTTATTTTCTTTCTCACAGAAGCCCGGGAAGTGAGTTTGGCTAAGACAGAGTGATCCTGTGAGGAGCCAGAGGACTTAATTCCTTTTATTTCCATCCTTTCTTTGCTGGTGAGGGTGATCCTGGCAAAAAAACAAAGGCTGAGAACTGAGTAGCCTTTGGGGGAGATTTTTTTCTTGGACCCATCAGCTCCAAGTCCAGTAGTTGTTTCTCAATCTAGTTGTGGAGGGCGCAGCTCAGTGGCCCATGTGGGGATCGAACCGGCAACCTTGGTGTGATGAGCACTGCTCTCTAACCACCTGAGCTAACTGGCCACCCCCAGGTTTTTCTTTAAAACCAACTACTGCTGTAGGAGTAGATGCCTGAAGCAGCCAGCAAACTGCTCTCAATAGGTTGGGATCTGAGCAGAGGAGCAACCCTGCTGAGCCCATCTCCCCTCCACCTAGCTCTTCTCTCCCTCGCCCCGTTCTCCTTGCTCCGCTTTGCCTGACTTCCGCTCTGGAAGCTTCCCTTTTTCTGGAGCAAGGGCAGCAGCTGCAGCTGAGCTGCGTCTTGCTCTAACTGCTCCAGGCTTGTAGCCTGTGACTTCGAGGGCCCCGCTGCTAGTGTACACCATAACCCTCCCATAGACCATGAGCTCCAAAGAATCAGAGATCTTGTTTGTTGACTTGACACTGCGGGCCCCATGCCTAGAACAGTGCCTGATACCTAAGCGATGCTCAATAAATACTTATTGAATAAATGAATGAATGGATACATGAAAGTTCTGTAGGCCCCAATCAAATTCATTGGCTTAGTTCACCAGTGCCTTTCAGAGCTGTACATCAGTCTGATGAAAATTAATCTCTGTAATAAGACCATGTCTTAGAAGAATCTTTTTAAAAATAATTTTTTATTTTTCAATCATGGCTGACATACAATATTATATTAGTTTTAGGCGTACAACATAGTGATTCGACATTTATATAACTTACGAAGTGATCCCCCTGATAAGTCTAGTACCCATACCTGACACCACACGTAGTTATTACAATGTTATTGGCTACATTCCCTACACTGTAATTTACATCCCCATGGCTGTTTCATAACCGGCAGTTTGCACATCCAGGTCCCTCTCTCTGAAGGGTCTTGATGTGTGGTTTTTACCCAGTTCTACACGCCACCTTTTAAATTTTTTTTGCATTTGTTTCCAGCTGACATTTCCAGCTTGGTCCTCTTCCACCTAAACAAGTCTTACACCTTATTTAATGACCATCTCAATGGCTAAGCCTCCAGCAAACCTTCTCTGATGACCGCAGTTAAAAGAGGCCATTCCTTCCTATAAACACCAATAGCACTGTGGGAGTGACTTGCTTCATAAGTGCATTGCACAATTGCACAAATTACTTCCATATTCTTTTTTTTCTTTCTTTTATTTTACCCTTAAAATCCCCTGAGTCAGAATGTTGTACAAATGTTACTCTCCTTTCACAGATAAGGGGAAATTGGGAGAGGGTAATGGGCGTGCTTGGGGACACAAGCCTAGAAAAAAAAAGAAAAAAGAATGTACACTAGGACCTTCATGTCTTCCATCCTCCTAGTCCAGTGCCCTTTTATACTGCTACACAATGCATGTGCTTACATTCTGGCACATATTGTTATCACTCTGTGTCAGTTTTATTTTCCCCACTAGACTGGAAATTCTTCTAGGCCCTAACTTTGTGGGCTTGCTAATAATAGTAACTAAATGAATAAGTTAGAAGACCTTCAAACTTGAAATTCAAAAATAGGAAAAAAAAAAAAGATTTCTCTTCCCGTAAGCTGGTTTTGCAATGAGTATAAAGGGCAAAAGAGCTGCCAAGTTGGTACAGGAGTTGGAAAACACTATACAGGCTTCATGTGTTGGTTCATTTTTGCTCAAAAAAGGCTTGACTTAAAAATTAATAATAAGGCGGGTCTTTCTATATACAAGTCAGCACAAAACTATTAGTAGGGAGTGAGATTCAATTATTTGCTTACAAGTTTCTTCTTTGCAATTTCATGTTAAATAATAGCCATTCATATGGGGAAGGGTACGCAGATCGCCTCTAATATTGCTCTCATGGATGGGAGGACGGCGGCATTCAAAGCCTGAGCAGTAGCTGCGGGTAGGAAGCAAGGCCAGCTGGTGTGTGTCAGGAGCCTTCGGGCCCTGCATTTGGGCTCTCTGGGCCTCCCCTGGCCAGCCAGCTGATGAGCCCAACGTCAGACCTTGGCCTTGAACCCAAGCCCCCGGGGCTTCTTGGGGAGAGGGCCGGGCTCCAACACGCACTACCCCGGGAGGCTCAGTGTTGGCTTTGCACCCGCGAATCTAACACCAACACGCAAGCCTGCACGTCCCAGGGGCCTCAGCCCCCAGTGTGACTCTTGGCTTTCACGGAACAAGCGGCCCGAGCCTGGGTGGCAGCGACAGCTCCAGGGCCCCGCCCTCCACCTGCAGCGCGGACGCCCCAGCCGCGAAGCAGCCGCCCGCACTGGTTTGTCCCTGCGGCCGTCTCGTAGGCGGCGCCGCGGCGCCCAGCAGCTCCTCCGGCCGCGTCGCCATGGCTGCCCGAGGCGGCGTCTCCCCCGCCGGTGACGGCCTGCGCTACGCGGAGTACTCGCCGCCCTCCGCCCCAGGGCCGGGCGCGGAGGCCCACCAGGGACTGGTGAGTGCTGCGGCCGCCCCTCCGGCTCCCCTCGCGGCCGCGCCGCCCCTCCCCGGCTCCCCGCCCTCCCCGGAGCGAGGTCAGGCCGAGGAGAGGGGGCTCCACCGAGAAAACGAAAGTCAGAAACGAAGGTGGAAGCGTGAGCGGCAGTGAGCTCGGAGACCACAAGAGCAAGAAGTGCGTTAGGCGCGAGTGGTAGCTGCAGAGTCCTGGGCCGGGGAAACAGCCCCGCGGGGCTCGGCCAGCGGCTTGTCCCGGCGGAAATGGGGATCTGGGAGAAGGAACCGCCCAAATGGTCACGTTTTCTGCAGCCGTATTAAAAAAGTAAAAAGAGATAGGCGGATTTCATTGTAACTTTTTATTTAGACCAGTATATGCACTATAATAGCTCAACGTGTAAGCATAAAAGCTGGTGGTTTTTATGTTGATCACACGTTGAAAGATGCACACATATATATGTGTATCCCCGTCTTTGAAATCCGGTGTGTGTTTCACGCTAACAGGAGACCTCAGTTGGGACTGGCCGCGTTTGGATTAGCCACCCGTGGCTTGTGGCTACCTTGTTGATCAGTGCAGTTGCCAGCGATCAATGGGGGCTAGAACATAGGAAGCATCTGATACCCCACGTGGAAGACCTCGTGTATTCTGAGGGCAGTAGTGCCATTTTGATGAGTTTTACGCAAAAGAGTGATAGGTAAGGCCATTGTAAAGGTCTCTCAGCTTATGTGTAAGAAGAGGGTATTCGATGGAGAAAGCCTGGAAACGTGGCCATTGTGTCCCTTGCCACACCACACTGCATGCTGCTTCAGCCCACGGTGACATAGCTTGCCAGCTTAATATCCAGTAGAGTCTTAAAATTTTGAGGGAGGCAGACAGTTCTTTGTTGTACAGAGTTGTTGCATACATATTAAGGACTTCTGGGATCAATAGTTCCTTCATCCACCAAATACCTCTCCTCTGACCCCAATTATTGTGACAACCAAAAGTCCACAGATTTTCAAAATGGCCCTAAAGGCCTGTTGACTTCTGTTGGGAATCATTGGTCCAGGTAATGAGCAGTGATGAGGTAGAAGATAACAGAGTTGATAATAACTTTGGGGAATTTGAAAGTACTGAAAGTGATGGGAAGCTGACAAACGTTAAGTGTTAGGGACGAATAAATGACCTGGGTGTAGGACATATTCGGTAGTTTTACTGAAAATAATAGAAATACAATTTCAAGGAATTGAAGAAAAAATTTTTTCATACCATTTTTTTTAAAGGGTACAATGTAAAGTTTTTGAAATATGTATCTGCAGTCATAGATTTTAGGGAACTCTTTTTCTCATGTAAGCTTCTCTTCAGGAACTAAGAATTAATGTTTATTAGCCTGTTCAGGAGATTAAAAAGATAAAAATGTAGGCAGAAATACTAACGTATCTTGAATGAAATAGTATCTTGCAATTAATTATTTAATAATTGGTCAGGGTAAAATGTTTTAGCGAAGCTAATTCTCATAGAAAAGTAGGAAAGAAACTTTAAGGTTAAGAATTTATTCATTACTGAGAAAAACAGACCCCTTCTGCTATTGGGTTGTCGGAAAAGTCATGACGCATGTTTGCAACACATGGCACTAGTTCATTTTTGGAAGTACTAGAGTCATTCGTATCTATGTTATAGCTATGTCATTGACAGCTGACAGTTCTAGCTTCATTCTAAAAAAAATTGAGCAAGTTGGTTGAGTTTTGGAGATTTTACAACAAGTTGAAGATGAAAGACCAAATTGAGCATTTTTGCCATATTTTACTGTTTTACTTCCGTAAAGGGAAGAACATGCGTCAAGCTTATGAAAAGTTGCATACAGTTTACGGTGACAATGCTCTACAAGAACATCACTGCCAACGATGGTTCACGAAATTCTGTGCTTGTGATTTTGATCTCAATGATGCTCCTCGGTCAGGGCGGCCCACCGAGGTTGATGACGACAAAATAAAGGCATTGATCGAGTCAAACCCACGTTACATGACAGAAGAGATTGCAGAAACAGTGAACATCCATCACTCAGTGTTCACGACCACCTGAAGAAGCTGGGATACATAAGCAAGCTCGATATTTGGGTTCTGCATGAACTCAAAGAAGTTCATTTGACGGCGCATATAAACATCTGCGATATGCTCATTAAACCTGAGGAAAGCAATCCTTTTTTGAAGCGACTGCTAACTGATGATAAGAAATGGATTGTTTATAACAATGTGGTGTGCAAACCAACGTGATGATTCTTCTCAAACGACATCGAAAGCAGACATTCATCAGAGGAAGGTTATGCTGTCAGTGTGATGGGATTTTAAAGGTGGTGTGTTTTTCGAGCTCCTACCAAGGAACCAAACAATCAATTCGAATGTGTACTGTCGGCAGTTGGACAGTTTGAACGAATCCATCATCCAGTAACGTTCAGAGCTTGTTAATTGTAAAGGAGTTGTGTTCCATTGCGACAACGCGAGACCACACACAAGTTTGATCACCCGTCAAAAATGATTAGAGCTTGGGTGGGATGTGTTGCCACACCCACCATACTTGCCTGACCTTGCGCCGTCAGACTTCCACTTGTTTCACTCTCTTTAAAACTCCTTGCGTGGTATAACATTCAATTCAGATGAGGCTGTGAATCAGCACCTTGTTCAGTTTTTCGCAAATAAAGACAGGTCCTTCTATGAACGAGGAATTATGAAGCTCACTAAAGATGGCAAAAGGTTATTGAACAAAACAGGCAATATATCATTGATTGATCTTTGTTCTTTATATAAATAACTGACCTTTGAAAAACATAGACAAAATACGTCATGACTTTCCTGAGGACCCAATGTGTTTCAATTCCAGTTTGATTGAAAGCATGTTTTAACATACTGGAAAGCTTCCCTTTGAAGAAATCACATGGATTATGTATTGTATATCCACATTTTTAACTTTGAGTTTTTCCTTGCTGTTCTTTATATCATACCAGCAGGATAAAATGTAAACTGCATGGGCAGGAACTTTGTTTGCTGTCTGTGTATTTCCAGCAATTATAATGATGCCTGATATGTGGTAAGCATTACAAAAAGAAATTGTTCAATGAATAAATGTTATGCTGGAATGGAAGGAATGAGAAGAACTATTCTTTCAGTGAGTAGAGTAAATACGAATCTCTAATTGTCTATCAATGAGTCCCACAAAATTCAGCTTACCTAAAATACCAGGGGTGCCAAGAAAATGTATACACATGACTTGTATTCATCTTTTGTTATCGGTATATATTGAGTATTACAATTTTAAAGCGTGTATACATTTTTTTGGCGCCCTCTGTGTATACCTCATTATATCCTGTCCGCAAACATGCTGATTCCCCACTTTCCCCTATCTTGAATAATGCCATCATCAACTCCTCTTCCTCCGGTTCCTTCCCCATTCAGTCGTCAGTCACTTATCCCGGCCGCTGCCATTCCTTTCTCCTTCCTTCCCACTGTTCTGTAGTCGTTATCACCTCTCCTTGGCCTACTTCGTAGCCTCTACACACAAGTCTCCTTGCCGCTGGTCCTTTACAAAGCCTTTGTAAACTCCACACTGCCATCAGTTATTTTTCTATAATACAGACCTAATGATGGTCTCATCCCTTTTTATAAATTTACCATGGTCCAAACTTGCCTCAGGGCAGTATACAGGACTCTATGAACTGACCCCCAAATGGCTTACCCAGCCCCGTTTTCCATCCTCCACCCAGCGGTTCTCAACCTTCCTAATGCCACGACCCCTTAATACAGTTCCTCATGTGGTGGTGACCCCCCAACCATAAAATTATTTTCGTTGCTACTCCATAACTGTAATTTTGCTACTGTTATGAATCGTAATGTAAATATATTTTTGTTTTCCGATGGTCTTAGGCGACCCCTGTGAAAGGGTCGTTCGACC